CCTAGGAGTTGAAGTCCACCCATCTTCAAGTTGTCAAGACTGAGAAACACTGATATATGCAAAAGAAATAGAAGATTAGATGTCAAATGAATGAAGAACAAGAGGGTGCTTTTTCTCCCTTGCTCACTTGAGGATTTGACCCCACCCGCCATGATGTAGCCCCACTTCCCCAGAGCGGATGGGGCCCTCAACTCCTGAAAGGAAGTCCATCCTGACTCTAAATGGGCCATGATAAATCCTTTTCCACTCCAGATCAGAGTTGGACTCTTCTGGATAAGGAGCCAAGAACGGCAGAAAAGGGAGTCAAAGGGAATGACGGTGGCTGTTTCCCAAGCAAAGTCCCAGGATGAACAAAAGTCTGTGGTCTTTTCTTAGTGTTTAGTGGTTTAACAAGAGCCACTTTGGTGAAGAGGTGAAGGCACCAGGCTAGAAACCAGGAGACCATGAGTTCTAGTCCTGCCTTAGGCATGAAGCCAGCTGGGTGACCTTGGGCTAGTCCCTCTCTCTCAGCCCCAGGAAGCAGGCTAGGGCAAACCACTTCTGAATTCTTGCCAAGAAAACTGCAGGGACTTGTCCAGGCAGTCACCAGAATCCAAAAATGACACAAAGGCACACACAAAAAAAATCTCAAAAACAAAAGGGAGAAATAATAAAAAGGCTGTAGCATTTTCTACAAATTAAGAATTTCAAACTTTGTGATGTATTGCTGCCATCCAGTGGGTCCCCATATAGGGGAAGATTCAGATTTGAAAAATGTAAGGGCGGTAGATGGATGACTCCCCTACCATGCCCCCCACCCCCCGCTTGTTGAAATGTGGCTGGCACCAAATCTTGTAGGTTTTTGGCACCAACTGCTAAGTTACTTTTCGCCCATGCCTCGCCTGTTTTTTGTCCTACTGTTTTACGGCCTTCATGTTCCTTTCCAAACATTCCAGGCAAAATTTCCGGTTCAAATGAAACCAAGTCACAGGTGATGGGGGAGGCCCTTCTTGGCCCAAAACTTTGAACAGCTCCTGCCAGCCAGAGCAGACCAGGAAAGTATAATGGTCTGGGGGAGCGACCCTGGGAGAGAGGAGGAAGAGACACAGTCTAGACAACCTTCAGGTAAAAGGTATCTCAACCCACGGAAGGAAAAGGGGTGTGGGAAGCTTCTCAGAAGGGACCATCCCTAGCTTTCTGGAAAGTAAAAGTAAAGGAGGAGAGAGGGGCTTTCACACTTGCAAGATTTTGTTACTGTAACCTTACAGTACAGGGAGTCCTCGTTTAGCGACCACAATTGGAACCAGCAACTTGGTCATTAAGCAAACCAGCCACTAGGTGAAACTGTGACTGTGCTTACAATCTCACTTCAGTTTTCCTTGGCTTTACAGACCTGCAAAGATCATCAATGCGAGGATTGGTCATAAAGTTAATTTTTCATTCCCATCATAACTGCGAACGGTCACTAAACGAGGACTACCTATAAAGATAGTGTTAGTACTCACGGTTGGTGCTTCTTGTCTGGACTATCTCAAAGGACTAGCAGAAAGAGGGTGGGTGGGGAGGCAGAGACGGATACTTTGAATTGAAACAAGGCAGCTTCCAGTGTTGTTTAAGTGCTAATATGGAGGGGGAAGGACCGGCCATTCTGTCTAAAAACAGACCGCTGTTCATCTGACTGGGTCAAGGGTAATGGGAAATCAGCTCAGAAAGCCATCCCACTAGACCATGGTTAACCAGCCTGCCTGATGCTTCACGTGGTGTGAAAGTTAACCAGAAAGGAATAATGTTGGTTGGCAAAACCTCGGGTTGATATTCCAGTACAGGGCTGCCCTCTGGTGGCCTGAATCAGTACAGCTTCTTCATCCCTATTGTGAAATCACATCCCCCATCCTGCCACCCTGGTTCTAAATCCTGAATTGATATGACCCACCGTGTTGGAACTGAGTTTCCACCTTTAGGTATTGCCGGAGCAAATCCATCACCACCGCCTTCATGTGACCTCGGATGCCGCTTCGGTATCTGCAACAAACCGCTCAAATGAAAATACCGAAG